GGGCGTCCACCCGAGAGTGGGGGGGGGGTGTGACGTCAGGTTGTGTCACGTGATTTGAATTTTGAATTGAGCTGTCCCCTTTATAGATAGTATCTCTTTATGTATTAGTGTGATTGGAATTCCTTTTTAGTGAGCCGGATCATTTGGCTCGGCTCTTGGCTCGGCTCACTAAGAAGAGCCGGCTCTTTCGGCTCTTCGTGTTACCACAGTTTACCACGGAGCCTCAGTTTCGCCGCTGTGAGGCTCCGGCGTTCGCAGTTCACGCACGTGCTCCACTAGCACCCCCCGTCAAGGCTCGCCGGCAGTACACTTTCCGTCACAGGAACACTCTTTCCTGGCGGCGAAAAGAATCCCAACAGACTCCTTTGCCCCTCCAACAGAGGGATGTCCTTGTCCTTTTTCCTTTTCATCATTTCAAGCTATAAAAACTCTCGATCTTCTCTCGAATTATTTATTTTTGTGGACGCCCTCGACTCGAGTTCAGGGTGTTCCGAGCTGAATAAGGGCGTCAAATGACGGCAAGACGCCCCCCCGGCGGAAACGCTGGTTCATACCCTTGGCTGTGAAGAGCAAGCTGCCACTGCATATCTGTTGCAATTACTTCTACCATTTGTATTAATACATTTATTTTTAAATGCACACTAGCAAGGACTGCAACAGGTTTTCTTTGTTTATTGATCTGCTGATTGTTCCCCCTTCACAAATAATCCTTTGGTCTACAAAATGTCAGTAATGATAAATCACACCACAATTTCCCACAGCCCATGCTGACTTACTTACATTTCTTGTTCTTTTTGAGATTCCAAAAGCCTAAAATATTTAATTCCTTATCCCAGAAGACCAAGAAACCATAGAATAGGAAGTTTTGTTCAAATGATTAACAATAGGTTATTGTTGACTATTTTCATATCAATTTATGGTGAATTCGTTTCAGCTCTACACTTGTTGTGACAATACATGAAATACCAAAGTAATTCTTGTCACTTAAAAGATAAATTAACAAATGGCTCCTTTTTTGACACATTAGAATATTTCTCAAAAACAAATGTCCTTACTATAATGTAAAGCTTCAATCTTATAAATTAGATGGTTATAGTACAAAGTATTCTTATATAACTGGTTAATTGCCATAAAATGTATGAAATCCTGTGTTGAGAAGAGTGATGCTCACAAATTAAACAGACAAGCTTATAAAGGATGAAAATATGAGTTATTAAAAGTGTTGGTTTTGGATAGCAGTTTTCAATCTTGTGTTTTTGAGCATTGATATACCATTACAACCTTTTTCCTCCTTGGATATGATTGAGACTTTTCTCAATTTTAAGAAAATCTTTTGTGATTCACATTGTGAATTGGTCAAATATGTCTGTGCTCGGAAAATATGAATCATGGATGCAATCAAACTCACCATGGTTAATGAAAGCGGCAGGCCCAAGCCAGAGCTGAGTGCAGCGTTTGCGTGTTGAATACATCACACTGAAATCATTGACCCCTGCCCTCAGCACAGCGCCGTCAGAGGGGCTCAGTTCTGCTATGCAGCCCAGCAGGACCTCCACACGCTCTCCTGGAAACCTGCGAAAAAACATATGAAAGCCACATACAGACATTAAATAAAAAACAAAAGGTAAAGGAAATTCAGCAGCTATTGTTGAGCTACATGTTGCCTTGATAAATAAAATGTGCGAGAGATTACCATTGCCTCGTTGAGGTAATCTTTGCTCCATTTTTCTCTGAGGAGTATCTGTCACAGGACTCTATTTTGACTCCACTATCCAATAGGAAGGCATCAAGGTAGCGATACACCTGCAGACATCAAAGATTATATTCTCACATTCAAGTGACAAATTCAGGATCAAAGGAAGCCTTCTATGATTTAATCCAGATACTATAAAACAGAAACTTTTGTCAACTTAATTATTGATTATTATATATTTATAATGATTCATAGGCTTAAATATATCAGCTTACATGTTGTCTCAGCAGCTCCAGTCGATGGCTCCCTAAAGCATTAAAGTAGTCACCAGCTTGTTCGCCCACTGTCAGCGCCTCGAATGTAGCATTGAAGTCATGCGTACGTTGAAAGCGCAGCAGGGTCTCTTTGAGGTTACCCCATCGCCGGATCGCTGGTGGGGGACTGATGAAGAAAGAAAGCATATAACGGCATTTAAGAAAAGCAAAAAGTCTCAGAACAAAATCTAATCAGCCTTAGCCTATATAAAATGCTATTTTATCTTGTATCTTTAGATATTCATTTACTCTCCATCAGCATTAATACTTATACTAATAAATATGTGCTAGTTGACTAGTAAGATAGTAAGTATTGGTAAGATCAAGAAAAGACACAAGATGAACAAATAAATACAATCGCTCCAAAGTTTTTTTTTTTATATTTAAAAAAAATTATATTACGTGATATTTTCCAAACCCAAGACATCTTTAAATTGGGTCTGTATTTTGACACTTTATGGAGGGTTTGGGTGTCATTACAGCTCATACGTGTCTCAGTAAAAATGCAAATAATCAGAACAGAAAAAGCCCCCCAAAAAATATATCAGCATCAGAAGATCAGAGATCCTATATTTGTAGATTTCAAAAGCAAAGGTGCAGTGCAGCTAAAAGGCAGAAGTAAAAGTCGACTTACATATTTAATAAGGAGGCAAGCCCCCTTTAATAAAATAAGAAAAGTAAAAATATACTTTAATTTGGGATCCTTTGATATCCTACTTTTAAAGGTTAAATCCCCTCCACCAAAATTGACTGTTGCAGACTAATGTTGAGTAACACATTACCTGATGTTCATCTTATGGGTGCTGAAGCCCAGCAAAGGGTCCAGCACCAAACCGTTGGCCAGGTCATCGGTATCACACAGCTCCTTCACACTCATTCTAGTGCATCCGTCCATTGCCTCCCACCATCAGCATGCTGCAATCAGCGGGTCAAAGTAACACTACGAATTATATGATGACAACAACAACAAACCATAATCATCTAGATGTGTGCATCTCAGCAGAGATCGCAAATTACGCAACATTAAGTTAGTAACTAATTCACAGCCCCGGTATTATTTGAATGCTATAACGTTACGCTATGTTTCCAATAACCGCTGCTTGGTACGGTTAGGAATGTGACTGATCGCCCGTTAGCTAAATCCATTAGCTTAACGTTAGCTTAGCATGTCGAGCTTGCTGGGAAAATATGGGGAGTTATCAGCTGAGTAGTGAAGAAGCTAACATTAGCATTACGGTCCGGAGCTAACGTAACATGACCTGTATCATATTGTTGCAGACCTGTGAAGCAATATGGTCTCATATGCAATGTATACTGTTGATGTGGTTTTCCAAATACATACCTGGGAGGCTTTTGTAGTCGGCTAAAGTATCGTCAGATCGATACTTTATTACAAGATGCCTGCTTGCTCTGGCAGCGAAAGTTAGCCTAGAGCACAAGCAGCTAGCTCTCTGCCGTCTTGCAGGCTGGTCCGGGCAGCCGCGTACGAAAATGGAGTCTCTTCGTCACTTCTGGAATGTGTAGCTTATTTGTTTACGATTGCGAATCCCAGATTGAATAGCAAAAGGTTGAAAAACATCACCAGTGGTAAAAAGTAGCTTAAAATGGATATGTTATGCTGCTAGCTAACTAGCTTTACACAACGCTCTTCTAGTAGCAAAAGTTGATGGGCAACGTCCGGTGCAACCGAACTAGTTTTGGCAACGCCCAAATGTTACGCTATTGGCTGAGCTCAAGGTCATTTTTACAAATCAGGGGGTTTAAGCTCAATGATTGGTCAGGCTTTCTTGTAGGGGGCCATCCAGCTTTACTGTTGATCCAGAGCAGAGGTGAATATTTACCTTACGTACATGTTTCCCCAGGCCCAGCACAGCAGAATCCTGAGCGGGAAAAAAAAAAATCCCCACATCATCAACATGATATAGATGTAGGCCTATACGTGCGAAGAGATGTTGTCTCTATTCCTAATGGTATATTAGGAACGGTTTGTATACAGTATTGGACGGAGTTCTGGAAGCTTCCTCATGAATAACGTGACTAAAGTGAAGGAGTTAAATTCACATTACCCTGCCAGTAAATTCAATGATATTTGATGACATTCTATTCTACATGTGTCTCCAAAACACAATTATGATTATTGATTAACACATTTGATTTAAATAGGACAACGAAAAGAAAATATGTATTTTTATTTGATTAATTTAAGGAAAAATTGAGTAGCATCTAATGTAATCATTCACAGAACAGCTAACCAGTACAGAACAGAAATGCTGTCACCAGTAGAAATATCAGGCTGCTGCATTTCTAAACGTCATCATAGTTCAATAGGCTACAGGCCTGTTTTCTATAGTTTATGCAGACCAAAAAAAACACAACATCAGGATATTAAGAGATTGTGTCATTGTCTTAAGTTAATGTATTTATTAAATGGCCCATCAATCAATTTTAAAGAGACGAATTGGTCCAATCTTCTTATCTGACTTTTGGTTACTAATTGTGTCTTCATAGGTATAAAGTTAGTCTTCAAAGAGCACGTTATCTTAAACAGTTTAAAATGCAAATCCTTGGTGCCTGATGCAGACCTGGCTTTCCTTGAATAACAAACTAACCTATGGTATCCAGAGTCAAAGTCCAGGTTTATGGATCCTGAATCCCTTTGGAAAATAGACATACAAATAGTTTGCTAAAACCATATACAATGTTTTGCATTAATGTTCTGAAGCCAAGATCATTTTTATATTTGCTTTTCAATATATATTTTAGGATACAATCTAATAGCCTACATCAAAGCTAATGTATTTACAATGAAACTATTCAAAATCGATTCACTCTCAAGGAATATTTGACCCATATTCTTTTACCCAGCTGCCAAGGAAGACTAAGTTGATAAATGGGATTTTGTCACAAACTCGTCCAGACTACTGAAATGTCTTTGGAAATCAAGAAGCAAACTGGAAACAATCCAGAGTAGTGCTACTGCATATTTTAAAAGGCGTTAAGCCATTTAAGCTACCACAGACTACATCTCCAAGGACTAGAAGGAAAACGTAAACATCACTGTCATCACAACCGGTTAGGGCTTGGCATTTCATGTGAGTATGACAATCCATCCATCCCATTATGGTCCAGTCATTCTCTAATCACAAGAGAAAATGTATTTTCAAATATACAAACATTTGTACACAGGGTCTGTTCACACTATCCAGGGTCATAAACTTCACTGTAGAAAAGTGTAACAACCTGTACATCTAGAAGACCATCACAGACCCTCAGCCGCCTTATGTCAATGTTGCATATACCGGCATGTTCCTCCCACAGGTGTTTTATAGTGCTGTTTGAATGGTTTATGTATTTGTTGCCACTAGTGTAGTGGATTATTTAAATTAAAAAAACATTTCAATAGCTTATTTTCATCTTTTTCCCTTACAGTGCAATCTGTACTGAATAGATTATTATGAACAAGATCCGTTTTTATTCTTTTTCCATTTTTAATTGTCAAACTTTTAAGGACTGCATTAAATGAGATGTTCTGGGTTTGCTGTTTTGCAGAATAAAGCAGATCATTGTGATCCAATTTAGATTGATCTATTTCACATGTTTTAATTCAGTTGCTTCTTAATAAAGTACTCCCAACATGGTTCACACCCCAGGCCCATGTGTAAAACAGATGGGCCTTTTTATTTTTAATAATAAAAAGTAAATGCACACAAAGGGAAAAAGAAAACCCACTGATGCCTAAGCTACTTTCCATTTCATGTAAAAGTGAAATGTTGAAATGTATCTCACTTTGCAGTCAGACATGTTTAGAAAGAAACCCATACACAAGTATACAAATTCTATGTTTTATTTTTACCTTGTAACAGACACAACTTGTGATTCAAATAAAAAATACTGTTAATTTCTATTGTTTCTTTTCCCTCATTATAATATCTACCTAGCAACAGTGCATGGTGCAAAACATCCCTGATTGATTAAAAAAATCCTACACTAATAAGCTTGCGGTATTTAGCATTGAATTGAGTAAAATTAATGAACGAAAAAGTAGTTAAAGACCAGATAATTTTGTGGAAATACCAACATTAAACATAGAGTAACAATGCTTTAAGCAGAGGTTTGTACAGCTTTGAAAATGGGAATTATAGTGGCCATTTTTGGACAATTTTTTCAGAAGACTGAAATGTACAATTCAACAGTGTTTCACTATTTTCTCTTAAAGGAGTCTCCTCATTGTTGAAGACACAATCTCTCCATTGGAGACGTTCTCCACAAAATTATAACACCCATGCCTTCATTTCCTATTATTCTAAAATATTTTACCGTCAGATATTTCTGTACATTTTCAGATCCGTTAGACAATCATATCAACTGTATTTACAAAAGGCGGGCCTGTATTATTAACAAATCAAAATGACCTTTAAACTAACAAATCACTGTGAACATTGTTCCCTAATGGACTCACCACGCCACAGTTGGGCTCAACTTATTTAAATTGAACATAAACGACAAGTCATCCGACTGGTAAATATGAATGTTATTACTTACTATTTGAATACAAAATAAGATTTCCTCATACCATTCATTTTATTTTAAATTTCACTTCCTGAGTTGGTCTTATTGTATGGGGCAGGCAGACAGCTGAAAAACAGCTTCCCCACCCTCTGCTTGCGTATGTGCGTATGCCTTGCACTCAACTTGACAATGTTTACGGCCTCTGCAATCTGGAACGCTGCTGTGGCATGTGCTCACACTTGGACAGAGGAATGAGGACAGACAGCAGACAAATAAAACCAGACAAACTATATATGTAATGGAGGAAAACTGTGTTTGGTTCATTAGAAATGGGCAGTGAGACACCCTGAAACACTGTATAAATTAATATTTTCACCAGTTGCAACAGCCAGCGCTGAACTATGGAATGCTTTCAATGGGGACAACCTGTATGCCAACTTAATGCACAGAAAAAGGAAAGCAAAATGGCCTGCTTATGGCATTATTCTGTACACGACGGAATGTATTTTTTAAATCCTGTTTCAATAAGAAAAAAATGTATTTTTGAGTCTGAATTTAGGTTGGCTGCGTTGTTTGGGGGTGACAGTTGTCACAGTGTCCACTTTGATTCATTTCTTAAGTATTTAATTTATTCTGTCTATGGGTCTTTATGCTTTTTCCAACAACAAGCTGCAAAAAGAAAGCAACTCAAAGATGATGACTGCCGTCACAAGCAATGCAAGCACTTCCATATTATCGCAAAAAATGTTCACAAAGCACAATCTAATAAGCATTAAAAATGATTTACTAATGCATGTACAGTAGCTGTTCTCCTGGTTATTACCTGATGTTGCCGACAAAAAATGTCATCTAGATTTATTTTGGATTTTCTGTATATTATTGCTTTGGGAACTTTAATAGTGAAACATTTACTTAATATTATTCCCTATTAAGTTTAAAGGGTCATCTGCAACTCTTTTTAGAAATAAAAAGTATAATAGTTCCGTCCAAACTCTGCTGCCTTCAGGGCTTATGTTCCCAGTTCTAGCCTCATTCAGTGGGTTCAAATAAAAAGAAACCCAATCTTTATTTGTATGATGCTCTTCTTGACTAGAGCACTTGGACAATGATTCACTATCTCCTCGCCCTGGGACTATGGGGAGAACCTTCTATCCACTTTCAGCTCAGGTATCTTGAGTATGCTGTTGTAAAAGTTTAATACGGCTTAAAAGCCAGAAAATATTAACTTCCTAGTCCTCCCGCTGAAGATTATTAACCACGTGTTCTCCATAATCATAGTCAAGATTCTAGTTCAAAGTATTGTGATAAAAACAGGCAACATCTGGTTCTAAGACCACCTGTTCTGTCCTACATCTTTGAGTAGATTACACTAAAGAACCATGTGAAATTACCCTTTGTTAGAACTATAAACTAAACTGGACTAAAATGATACTTTTCAGTGTCTATATTTGAGTGGGTCCTATTCATAAGACATCTCTTTAAGCTGCTGTATTGTCAGATTAAGCTACCACACTCAATGACAAGCGCAGCCACTATGCTTGATGGCAAAGGTTGCTGACAAACACGAAAGCAACGGCAAACAGAGTGAGCGGCGTGATGGCATAATTCAAATAAATGGTTATTTTATTCATCTTGTAATTTCAGTGAACTAAAAACAAGAACAAAAAGAAAGAAATCAACCATGTAGGTTTCATGTATCTACAAAAAAGAAATGGAAGAAGCAAAACTATTTCACATCCATGTCTGCGTTCTCAAATCATTGGTTTTTGAAAAAGGGAAGAGAAGAAAAAAAAGTATTATTTCATGTGAATCCATTTCATTCAAGGGTTCACCTGCACATATGTCCACCTGTGCACCCAGTGTGTGGTATGTGCAGTTACCATTTGAGTGTGCAACTTGATCCCCCCCCCCCCACCCATCACACAGACATACACAAACCTCTGAAACAGGATGTACAAAAGCTTGTGTTTAGCATTAAACAGTGCGGGGCCTTAACATAAACAGCTAAGGCTCCTCTTTCTCTTTGCCCCCTTCCCTCCTCCACTGCCCCCAGGTTTGAATATACATCACAGAGCGGGAAGAAGAACCCAGCTCTACAAAATGACAAGGAAAAATGAACAGAGGAATAAGAGGAAGAAAGAAAAAAAACATACATACAGAATACAGCATTTCCCTCTGTATCATTCTCACTTTTTTTGATTAAACACTCACACAAAAGAGTGCACGCAAACAGCCAAACCAACAGTTTGTTTCAGAGAGAAAAAACATGATTGAACCCTGGACACTTGTCTGCTTTGTTGCCGTTTGGTGACGAGGGAGAACAAGTTTGGGAGGTAGAGGAAAGAAGAGTTGGGTAGACAGCAGGGTGGCAGGTTGAGGGAGGGGGATCCAGCGGCTGTTATTTCTTGGCCTTGGCAGCCTTGGCTGAATTTCGCGGCGGGGTGACCGGTCTCCCAGATCCCATTCCTCCTCCTCCGCCATAAGGATACAATTTCTTATCGGCTGGCTTCAGAATCTGTGAGAGAGACAGAGGAACTCTTATTTAGTTTGACGGACATAAACAGTAACTTCTGTAATGAAAAAAATAAATTGACATTTTTTTAGGTCAACTTAAAGCAAAGAAAACTATGATCAAACATAACAAAAAGGAAATGCTACACATTCATTACAACTAATTAATTACCCATTATGAACAATTGTTGTTGCTAAACAAAATACATGCAGATGATGGCAAATGTGTTTTATTACAAAATTAGAAAAACGAAAAAAAAAAAAAAACAAAGGTTCTGCTTTACACACCTGGAAGGAGCACATGAGTGTTTCATCCACACTCATCATGGCGCCGGCATTGTCAAACTCTCCACAGTAGTTGGGAGCCGAGAATAAGGTGACGAGCTGCCTCTTTGCGAAAAACTCATAACCATCTTCTACCACCTGAGGAGGAACCGGAACAGTCAACAACACAGACAAAAAAGAAGCAAAAAGATCAACAGGTCAGTCGGTAGCTCGCTTGTTACATTACACCGTGTCGTACGGTTGGTTGAGTGAAGCAACACAAAGTCAGATTTCAACTAAACAGGACCACTAGAAGTTACACTACACGGAAGGTCGTTAAGAATATTACATATTTAAGTGAAATAAGTTCACTAGTATTTTTTGAATTGAATATAAAATCCTAACAAAAAGGCAAACTGCTATTGGAAAAGAATAAGAGAGGAATAATCTTAAAGCTTCAGTTGGTAGGGGCATAAAGCCCACTGACTAAACATTACCTGATGCGCCCTGCATATTAGGTCCATGTCATGTTTGTGCAAAAATTTGGCCACCACATCCGCTCCAAATGTGAAGGAGACGCCGCGGTCGTTTTCACCCCAGCCAAGCACATCTTTGTCTGGATCGGCCCACAGCAGGTCACACAACAGACCCTGGTCCGGCACGTCTGTGGGTCGCATTACTCTGCGGATCTGCTCCATAGACTGGAGGTCAGGAGAGAGGCCTGCAGAGAAATCATACACACATCTAGTTCTTATCTTCTGATGGGCAAGGGTCCTCACAGCTAAAGAGTAGAGTAAGATTCAAGCATTTTTTAAAGATTCTCAACCTTTGTAAGCAAGTCTAAATTGTTGCTATAAAAGCAATTGCAAAATACTTTATACACATAGCAATCTATCTAAAAGACTTTAGCTGTTTGTTCGGGTGATATGTATTTAATGCTCATTTAGCTTCAGTCCGCCATGCGTCCGGTGAAAGAGATTATGTTGAAAATCACGCATTTTCAAGGAGCATTTTTGAGTTCAAGCATATTTCTAACTTTCAAAACTTAACAGTCAAAATGAAGCATCTTCCAAACTTTCAGGACTGACAAACCCCGAGTGTGTATCACTTAATCCTCATAGCATCTTATTTAACATTTACCTCCATGACAGCAGAAGATTTTCTCATCTACAATGGCCGCCACAGGTAAACAGTTGAAGCAGTCTGTGAAGGTCTTCCACAGCTTAATGTTATACCGTCGCTTACCTACCAGCAAAAGAGGAAATATGAAACATAAGTGCACCAGCCAAGAGAGCAGATTTGACATGTATCCTGTTAACAAAGGTACTCTGCACTTACACTCGTCATAAAAGCCATAGATACGATTAATAGAGGCGCATTCATGGTTTCCCCGCAGAAGGAAAAAGTTCTCTGGATATTTGATCTTGTAGGCTAGAAGCAGGCAGATGGTCTCCAGTGACTGCTTCCCTCTGTCTACGTAGTCTCCAAGGAACAGGTAGTTGCTTTCTGGGGGGAAGCCTCCATATTCAAACAGCCGGAGCAGATCATAGTACTGGCCATGGACATCGCCTGCAGAGGGCAGCAGAGGAGTGCAATGTTAACACCATTCTCACACTGCTACTGGGTGAGGCTGGTGAGTAACACCACAACTGGCATTTACAGATGAGCAAACTGTCAAGTTAATCGAGAACAAAACATCAGGTGATTTTCTCTGCATTAGTCAGTCTGCAGTGTAACTATTATGGTATTTCACATTTGGTTTGATACATTTTGAAAGCTTATTGACAACCACATTAAAGCTCACCGCAGATTTTGAGGGGCGCCTCTAGTTCGAGCAGGATTGGCTGGCTCAAGAAGATTTCACGGGACTTCAGGCAAAGGCCACGGATCTCACCCTCTGTCAGCTGGACATTCTTCCCTGGTCGAGAGCCCTTGACTGAAAGAAAGGTGAAGACAAGAGATGTTTTATGGGAAATATAGTTAAAACAAAAAGACACTGCCAGAGTCAGAGCTGTAAAAAAGTCTGAATGGAGAAGGACACAAGGAGTAAGCAATGAAACATGAGCCTCAGATTCTGAAAACCAGACTGGAAGTAAAGAACTCACAACAACCAAATGCAGGAAAATGTTAGTCGAGTCTTACAGCCACATACGCAGTTAATTACACTATTTAATGGTTATTGTGTATGATTTACTCCTCATTTTTTAAATCGTTATTTACTATCAGAAGTTACACTTTAAATCTAGCCACAACACAGCAAGATGGTTATGTGCAGGATGCAGAGATGCAGCATCTGAGAAACCCTGGTCTGTGGAAACTTGCCTGACGTTGTCAGCCTCAAAGGCACGTCGTTCTGCTTATGTAGCAGTTTAAAGCCAAGCTAGGAAGAAGACGAGAAACCCACATCCCCTTTAGCTGATGTAGCAAAGACATTTCAAACACATAACTGGGGCCCTCTTAATATGCACTGTTAAGAACGACACATTGTTATGACACTGCATCACAAAGACGTCCAATAAAACAGACATTTTAATTCAATCTAACTCTATCATGTAATGTTGAATATTATTTTCTGTTTTTGGCACTCAACTACTTTCACTGATACTCTTGACAAATTCACAAGGCTTGTCAAGTCTGTAATTGTCATATTTTTTAGACTTATTACACACTCTGAAAGGAGCCAAACCCAAGATAAAGACTTTGACAAGGAACCAAGTTTATTTTACAGACAACTTGTTTAAAATGACACACTTAATGGCTCCTAAAGATAAGAGCAAAGTAAAAGACAGCAACTGAAGGGAGAGGAGTTGGTAGGCTTACAGGCATTCTTAAATTATTCATTGAAGTATCACCAGCGCTAATAATTTAGATCAAAACATTTGCACATTGACAGGCCCACGGTGGGGTGCGTACGTGACGTCACCCGACTGTATCTCTGGCCTTAGGCAAGACTGGTGGAGTTTGGAATCTGGTTTGTTTGCATCTCGGGCAGAATGATATCACACCCTCATTTCCTACATGTGCTTCTTTATGCCAAAGTAAATCCCAACACAAGCTGGGCAACCGAATAATGGCCACTCTGTTTCCCACCCAACAAATTGCTCACAGCCTACAGAACAGGTAATGTATTTACAGTGGAGACAGACTTGCCTCCAACTGTCATAATCACAATTATTAATATAATGCTGGGTGTGAACAGAGCTCTCTCAATAAAGTTTCAGAGTTGTCAGGTGGATAAACAGACATTGCTTGAGACCTGCTTCGAAATAAAATAACTCATGGTACTTCTCTCACTTCTCTTAAACTACATATGAACAATTTAGAAATAAAACTTCCAAAACATTTAGCATTTTAACACTTTAAACAGTATCACAGTTTGGATTACAAAATATGACTGTAAAGTGAACATTTGGTTTTAAAATACAGATTACATTTTTTGTCCATGTTACAAACCATGAACATATCACACATCTATCACTTGTCAATTATTGTTACAAGTAAACCCAATGTAGTTATAATAAAACTGAAAAACACTTGCAAAGGGAAAGTGAGAGTATTCATTTTGTACAAATGGTTGTGAAATAATCGCACTTTCCTGGAATGGGAAGTGAAAGTAAGTCCCTTAACAACAGTGAAAAGTAGGTATAAATAATACTGCAGTGCTGCTTGTCACTTAAACCTGGATTACAGAAGGCTAAGCCCTGACAGAGCTTACTCCAAAGTTAGCCACATAGCCAGTGGGCAACAGAGAGCTTACCAAGAGGGATACAGACAAAAGGCTTTCCACTACGCTGATCAGGGGGCAGGAAACAAAGAGCTGGACCAGCACAACAGAAAAGCCATTGGGGTTCCGGGATTGCTGGAATCAACAGTTGATTTGGTCCACCACTCCTGACTCAGTGCTGGACGTTCTGGCTGAGCTTATGTGATGTCACGCTCTCCAGACAAGCTATGAGCAACACACACTCCCAGAGTTCACTTAGCTTTAGATATACGAAAGTAATCCAATTGAAACAATCATTATCCAAACAAGTTTAATTGGGTTTGCCTTGCCTTGGGTTGGTCTCAAAAAACAGTCAGCAAGCACGAAGAAAGTAACTTGTTCACCACAGAGGCTGAGATAGTGTATCATTTATCAGTCTTTTAATGCAGCGAGGCAATTATTCTTCACTAGTCTCCAACAGAGCGGCAAACACAATAGTATTTTTTTCAGGCGAGTGGTTATTCTCAGCAATAAAACCACAAATGCTGACAATAAGGGTCAAGTGAGTTACATAACAGGATAAAAATACTGCCACTATCAGGCTTGTTTGTGTTCCTCTGTGCTTTGCAGACAACCTTATCAAAGCATAAGAATCCATGTACAAAACAGAGCATAACAGGCAGGGTCCACAGTCAAAGTCAAACTCCCAGGAGGTACTATGACTGCACATGCAGATTTGACAATAATCCCAATCACATACACCAGCTTGCCTTAGGCTGGTCGTGAGGGGACTGTGTGTGTGTGTGTGTGTGTGTGTGTGTGTGTGTGTGTGTGTGTGTGTATATATATATATATATATATATATATATATATATGAGAAGGTAAATAAACAAAGGGCTAAGGTCAAATGTATTTACAGCCTCGGAAACACTTCAGTGCCCAACATCCAAATAAAAAATGGTCTTTTGATAGATGGAATGTGAGTCACATTTGTTTGAGATCACAAGTCTCCTAAATATGATGTTGTTCCTGTGAAACAGTCACACAAAGAAGCCTGGATACCAACTTCCACACCCAGTGGAAAGGTCAACTACAGAGGTCACGACCTTATTTTGTGTTCTTTTTATATGAACTGTACAGTTAGGTCAGAAGAGATGTATGCTTCTGTTTGATGTCCACGGGGCTCCTGTTACACAACCATCATGTGAAGATAAAGACAGCCCTGTTTCCCTCACACACAAGCAACTGCAAGCATAACAAATCTGTTTACACACATTGTATACAGTGCGCATGCAATGGAGCATGTCAGTTTGTAGAGCCAATACAGATTACAAATCACTCCATATAAAAAGTACATTTTGTGCAAAAGCATTCTAGAGAACACTTTTTTACAACTTGTAAGAATATCTTTTAGAGCTATCCCGATATATGCACTCAGAAATAATTGTTTGTACAAAGTATTTTGAGTATGGATCACAAAGGTAGAAAATAACTGATTGCTTCAAAAACAGCATAAAGTAGAATAGAAGGCCGAACAGCAGTTGCTCTCAGTAGTGTGAGCATGTGCCAATCAAAGCATCTTTGTTTGTACGCCTCATTAACAAATCACTCTAGGGAAGGTTGTGACTGCAAATTGATATCAGAGCCTCAACTACATAACAGAAAGCACAACAAAAGTGCACCCATGTAACTGAGAAGCTCTGGTGGGAAAAGGGGTTACAAATGTTTAAAGAAAACTATGATTACAACAGTTTTCCTACAGTAAGAAAGTGTCAATGTATTAATGTGAATGAAAACAATAACAACAAATCTAAAAAAAGGTAGAGTTATTGAGTTATTCCCATGCCACCATGTTGCAAATCATCCAACCTACAACAGTGATTCTATCATTATAAACTGAAATACAAGTAAGAGATAATCTCCTCCCAACAAGAAATGCATTAATAATAATAATAATAATAATAACATCCTAAGGTATGACTAGGTGCCATTTGATCAAATATGTTAAGTTCCTCTTCTTTCGTGCCATTTACTTCTGTAACGTCACCCATTTCGCCTTGATTTCCATACAACACAGTTTCTTATGAAAACAGAAATGGGAAACCATAATATAAAAAAAGCTTTTACCAATCGAATACCGCAACTAAGTTTTAATGACAAGAGTTGTTAAAGTGGATTTGGCTACAATCCTTGGTTCTATCCAAATGCAACCATCGAGCCTGAGAGCATAGCAGTCTTAAGTAGGCTACTACACCATACTGTGTCTACCTTTAACTTTAGCCGACTTACCTGCGATATAAAATACACATCTCTCTACCATCAAGATATGCATTATATAAAATAAGTATACCACTGCATTGTAGGTTTATTTCTCCTCACCTTCCAAGAGACGCTGAATTATAGAGTCGATGTTTAATTTGTCCGGCTCCGCCATTTTCTTTATTTTCTGACGTTCTCGGGCAGTCAAGACCTTGGTTTTCCGTGTAGCACCCTAGATCAAACAGAAAAAGAGACGGACACTGACAGTTAATGTTAATATTATTTTTGAATCAAATCTGTGAATCAATGAAGACCCCGTACTCAACATTTAAGCAATGTTAGCAGACGAAAAATGATAGCTAGCTAGCTAATAGCCAAGTAACATAAGCTAACGATACACATATAAACCAACGGCTAGTTAGCTAACGTTAGCTATGTAACATAGCTACAAACAGATACAATGTCCCCGAACCTTTTCACTTGGTTTGACAATAATCTTCCCTGGGGTGAATTACAGGTAAGTATTTATCCTCCGAGAACAATCTTGGCCCCTTTCCTTGGGTTTGTCCGGGTTCCTTCCCTCTTCCCCCAGGAACTTTGAGAGAGGGCCGTGTCCACCAAAGTGTCTACGGTAACGTAGGAGGCTGAATCCAGCTCTTCACACGTTTCTAAGAAGATGATTGGTTCATCCAATTTAAAACCCACATTGTCGCATTTGATTGGACGGCTGCTGGGTCTTTCACCTAACCCCCACCCCCTTTTAACAGCATCAATGGAGACTCTAAAGAGAGAGATCCAAGTGCGCCCTCAAGTGTTGAGAAATGAAATAGTATTTTACCAGAAGATGTATTACATTCAATCATAGGTTATCAAAAGCACATTTTCTATAAAATACTTGTTTCATTTTAGGTTTGAAAAAAAAATCCATACATTTTTAAGACCATTATTCGTTCTTTATAATTAGAAAACAAGCAGTGTGCTGCAAATTACGGAAGAATATAAAGAAAACAGCAACACATCTACTGATCATTCTTGATGCTTAAGAGATATTAGATGAGACCATTTATCAATTCGTTTTCTGTCTTTTACTTGGTTATACTTATGTTAATAATATGGTTGGTTTCTGAAAGAGGCTATACAGCGTACCAATGGTGGCAAGTGATAGGCAATAGTCATTATTAGGAATAAAATAAAAGGAATGGACATTAGTCACAGAATGTTTACAGTCCTTTATGGGGCTCAGAGTTATCAGCCTCGTAATCTAAGACCATAAATGAGATCATAGGGATGGAAAAAAAAGCCAATAAGGCTATTTGCGTTATTTTCTTGTCATAGCTGAAAGCAAATATCTTGACTAAAATACATTTGTGTGTGCTTGAACAGTGTCATTTGGGTTTGTGTTGATGGATCCCATAAAGGCTCCTATGACATTTACAATGTTACATCATTTTTTTTTTTAAAAAGATCACTGCTTCCTGGTCATGTTACATTATCTGCTAGTTAGTTAATACATTTAGCAGAAAGTAGAAAGTCACGATCAATCATGGGTTTCATTAGCATATGTTTCCTGACTGTCTAGCTGGTTTAAAAGTTGGTTACACATTTTTTTCAGCTCAGTTTACAGTGGAAGGGAAAGTGAACGGATGTATGTACATTTATTAAAATACTAATTGCAGGTAGTTGTGCTTAATTTGAGCGTTTCTATTTTTGTAATAATAAAGCAATATTGTAATTCATTATATTATAACCTTCTGTAATGTAATAAGGGGCTATATTATTGGGTATTTTTGCATTGTAAGTACTTTAATAGTTTTATTTAATCTAGCTACTAACACTTCTATAACCTAAGTAACATATTTGAATACAAGACACTTACTTGAAATGGAGCTTATTTAGTGTGTGATATTGTAGAGAAAAAAGTGGCACAGGAAGTCAAACTGGAGTCTTAGCAAATTCAATTGTGGGTTGAAATTGCAAATAGTTAGCAGAAAGTGCTCCTCATTGTTGCTGACATTTGATGTTATTATTTTTAAATTACAATTAAGTCTGCTCTTAGATGAATATTAAAGTTGAAACAGCATCTACTTTAATTCAGTTAATATGAAAGTGAAATGTGAATTATTTGTGAGTTTGATTGCTCTGACTTTTTATATAGAGAATAATATATAGTCTGTCTCTCTGCATCACTGAACCCTTTTTGAAACTAAAATCTAAATTGGTCTCTAGATTATGCAAATCAAAACTATGCGTGTTAGTTTCAATTTGTCTGAGTGTTTCTTTATTTGTTGATAAAGTCTAACCATCTAAAGTTACACAACATTCCTTTTTGTGTCGTTATGATCCATGAAGCCTCTCGCACAAATCTTGCGCAAAATTCCTAAACCCACTCTGTGTCAGTGTCTCAGTTTCCTAAATTTGTCTCCTTATTCATCATCACAGTTTCGACAGAGGTAGGTGTATGGGGGTGGAGAATCTAGGGCGTGCAGGTATGGAAGTGTGAGCGCCTTTGTCTGGGAGCAGAAAGACATTTTCAGCCTTTAGATGACTCAGTTCCGTTTTTCTTCGTATACAACGCATGATGTTTACAATCACAATGAGTCACTCACTTTCATCAATAATCACAGCAACATCTCTGTATATCTTTGTATACATTTTGAAAAAAAGATAACTGATGCTATCACAACATTGTTTTTCATAGGGACTCTGAGGTGTATCCACAGCAGTGTGCCATAGCAGAAAGAAGGTGGAAAAAGAGAGGGAAACATGCATATAGGACAAGTCCAGTCTGGTTTTGAGGTCTTTCCCTCCTGTGCACTCCCTTGTTGGAGTATAACCCCACCCTACCCCTTACATTCCTCTACAAATACCCCATATTATCACACAGTCTCTGCACAACACTAGTACTGTACATCAGAAAACAGCCTCTTCAAAACAACTCACACAGGAAGAAAGGAAGAATCTCAACAAACACTTCATCATTTTTGAAGTTTTCGAATCAAGTCTAGCGGACAACTAATATAAGGTATGCATCTTTTTTCTATCTTTTTCATTCTCATGGAAAGCCTGGGCTTTGAAGGTATATGATTCTGCAAAAGCTTGACAAGAAAGAAGATGAAAGGATTGGTTAGGGATTTGTTGAATGTCCTGGCATTTGCACCAGTAAATCATGAAAAGTGCAAATATAAAGCTGTAAGGGAGGAAAATCAGAAAGTATAAAAGGCTCAGCAGCATTTTCGTGTTTTTTCAAAATAACTGTTTTGTTTTGTATTTATCTTTGATTTGATAACACTACTCATGCGTCACTTAATTTTAATAAAAATTTTTAGTTAAAATATATGTAATTCTGAGATACTTGAAGTAAGATATTTATATTTATGTCCTGGTCTAAAACCATCCCAAGTTTTCTCATCTGACTGGAATCAATTCTGTTTAAAAAAATCTATCGGAATTATTTGTTTGGTAAAAGTGAATGGTCATCTTTGGGAATAATGAGACATTCACATTTAAAGAAAATCTGCCTTTTATTAGTGTTTTCCTATGCTTAAGGATTATTTGAATTGTCTGTATGGATGAAGAACAAAGGGAAGGCTTTGAATGTGTTTAACCTATCTTAAATTATTTTAAGCATATGTGTTTTTATTATTTAATCTAGTTTAAGCACTTGAATGTATGTACAATTTATTGTAAAGTAAGCTTTAGTTACTTATTTTGTTTAACATTTCGAGATATCAAAATATACCAATTATTAAAACAAAAACATTCAAACTTATTCAACATTTTAAATAAAATATATTTATAATGTTAAAGATCCCCTTAGTTTTAATCAAAATTACTAAATTAACTGCTTAATTTTTCAGGCTAAGAATTTGCATCGTTCATCATAGTTACCTGTCTTGTGTGTGTTCAGTTCTTTCTACCTTTTTACTCTAATTTAATTTGCATGAAGTTGAATTGTAAACTGAGCCGAAAATAAATCAGTGAGAAAGATTTTCCAGGTAAGGAGATTTGAGGGAGTGGTTCCACAATTCCTAGGAAGAGATGTAGAAGTCCAGGACCTGTCAGGACTTGAAGGAGTTTTAAAACATAGCCCTGAGCAACACAATCCTTTGAGGGCCTGTCAGAGAGATTGGATGTTTGTGTGTCTATGTGATCACAAAACCCCCATACAGATCACTGGTAACACCAGAGCAACAACAGATAAAACTAATCATATGAACAACTAACAAAAATAAACATATTTCAAAGCCTTTAAGAGGAAAGAAAAGTAGAACATCTTAGACCTTGGGAAAGCCAATTAAAGAAGGTATCCTCCTATGATATCTGGGTATGCAACGTTATTGAGAGACAATACCAAAAACTAACCAGAAATATTTTGATAAGGCTGAATTACTTCCCTTGTGCATTTTTTTATTGTACTTTTACAGAATGGGATCTGCTGGAGTCCATATTGTGTGTGTGGCCCTCGGGGTCTTGGGCTTGATCGGGACCATCGTATGCTGCGCTGTCCCACGCTGGAGGGTGTCCTCTTTCACGGGATCCAACATCGTGACTGCACAGGTAATGAAAAGGGAAGAAAATATTTAAGTATGGCAGGGATGTAAAATCAACATATAAATCCCCAGATAAATCCAATAACACTGGATTAAAAGCTAAAACCAGAACCACCATTTCTAAAATTAAAAAGATTTGTGATACAACTTTCTGTGCAACACACAAGATTAAGCCACATTTTGAATTAAAATCTGATCATATATACACATGATCATAGTCCTGGTGAGTCATGAGTGTTTAAATAAAGTAAAAACCTAAGAATGTTTATTTTAACTGTCACTTTAATTGTTGAAGTCATGGATATTTATTATAAAGAAGATTTAAAATCAGGGGGTTTCAACTTTAACATTGAATCGTATGATATGAGCTCATCATGTTTTGTTTAAAAATGCTTAATCTTTTGAAAAATGTAGAATGAAAACTTCCATATTTCCCTTTGGATTGTTGAGTAGAAGTGTAAAGCAGCATAAACTGGAAGAACGCATATATAGATGTTAGTTACTTTCCACCAATGGACATACAGTAAATGATTATGTCTCAAATGACTGACCTCTTTCTGTGTGTGTGTGTGTGTGTGTGTGTGTGTGTGTGTGTGTGTGTGTGTGTGTGTGTGTGTGTGTGTGTGTGTGCGTGCGTGTGCGTGTGAGCAGAGCACTCAAGGGGGCCTGTGGAAAAACTGTGTGGTGCAGAGTACCGGCCAGCAGCAGTGCAAGAACTACGACTCCCTGCTGGTCCTGCCCTCTGACCTGCAGGCCTCCCGTGCCATGACCATCATCGCCTGCATGTTGAGCAGCCTCTGCATCCTGATGCTCTTCTGTGGGGCCGACTTCACCACCTGCATAGAGAACGAAGCTGTCAAGCCCAAGATCGGCCTGGTGTCTGGGATTGGCATGATTCTGTCGGGCCTTTTGGTGATCATCGCTGTCAGCTGGTCCGCCCACAATATTGTGCGGGATTTCAACGACCCCATGGTCCATGCTAACCAGAAGAAGGAGCTCGGAGCATGTATCTTTGTGGGTTGGGGGGCCGGCGTGCTGCTCCTTCTGGCCGGAGGTCTGCTCTGCTGCTTCAGCAGGCCCAACTCTGGCTCCGGTGGAACCGCCAAGTACTACAGCAACAGCGCTGCCTCTGCCCCCAATAAAAACTACGTGTAGTAGATCCTTTATAAAAGGGACTGGTGTTAGACAGATAATATGTGAGGTGGATTTAGTTGGTGAAAGACTGGCGAACAACAAAGTAGATTACATAAGGGGTTGTTTTGGGAAATCTGAACAAATGTAAATATTGAAACCAATTTTTTTCTTTCACAGTCATAGTTATGCTGGTGATGTTTAAATCGTAGATCTGTTTTACTATAGGTGCTGGGTTGGGCATTAGCTAGTTGGAGGTACACGGAAAAACAAATGTTATACATGCTGTAAATTACACAGATTTTGCGATCCTAGAATAAGCTGTTGTATTTGGGTTGCTGTACAAAATAAATGATATTGATAATGATATTGTAGCTGAAAGATTTATGCATTTCCTTTATTTTTCTTGGAATATTTGACTTTCAAAGCTTCTTTAAAAAGAACCGCCCACGTGCAAATCTAAATGTGAGATTCGGAAAATGTAAAAAGAAAAATCATCTGATAAGCTAAACATGAAACTAATTGTCCAGCCTCTTAAGACAAATGCATTATTTGTATGTAGTTTGGATAAAACATTCTGATTATATTACATGTGTTATCATTTATATTACGTCTTCTTCTTTTCAATCTTGTTTTTATTATTCATATTCAGAAAAAGCTGCTGTACTTCCGTCAGCTTCAGGGAGCATCTGAGTCACTTGTTTCTCTAATTATATGACATTTCAATTTGCTCTGTACCATTTGCTATTTCTCATTTTGTATTTTTTCTCATTTTGTATGATGATGAATAAAAAGGATTACAATTTGGCATAATTCAAACATGTGTTTCATTTGCATATAATTTCACAACAAAAAAATTCGAAACAGTATTTTGAAAATACAGAGGATTTTATTTTAAACTAAAAGCATATATTAAAATAAGAATTTAAAAAGTTGATCAGACAAACCAAATAAACAAATTAAGCTTCATGCCAAAGAAGTTTCATTACACCTGTAGATTCAATATCTCCCTTTGTCTCACTGTAATCAGCCAATGGTCTTCCTTTGCTCCACTGTTTCTCTCTTGTCTTTTGCTTTTAATTTATTTTCCATGTTTATTAAACTCCTCTACTTTGATTCTCTCCAGCTCTCCAGTTCCTTCATACGGGTGGTCAGCTCCTCTATCGCTGCTTTCAGGTCTTTCACTTCCTTCCTCAAGGACTGAACCTCCTAAGAGACAGACGGACACAAAAAGAGTTAGGATGTGATGGTGAATGTTTGAATACACATTTATTGTAAGATTGGGTATGACCAGATTTGCTTTCTTGTTGCTGTTGATGATTTTCCAGCGCAATAAAAATGGTTAATGCACTATTCAGTATGCAGATCATTTACTTCTATAACAAAGTTAAAAAGATACTTAAGCACAAGTTAAGAAGATTTTAATAGTAGAGAAGAATTATCAGTAATGTACCTCAAGTATGAAAAGTAAAATAAGCATTACGCATGTGAGATACATTCCTATATGTATTGTGTTATTTAATCATAATAAACGTACATCCTAATGTGTAAGTAGGACATTGTGAAGCTTGTTTGAATTGATTTATACTTCATTACTTGTACCCACATGTATCTAAATGCACTATATTTAATGTTTAAGTTGACCATTGAATGACAAGACTGGTGACTAAAGCTTTGAAATCAATTTAATTTGAAATGAAGTTGAGTAGAAGTATAAAGTAGCATAACATGGAAATACTCAAGTAAAGTATGTTTTCAACTCGTTTCCTGATTAAGTTGACTTATTACGTTCCACCTCCACAACTTTAAACAGTGTGAACCCTAAATGTAAAAGGATGTTTGTCTTTAAATGTCTCACCCCGCTGTTATCTGGTTGGTTCCCAGCAGAAGTAGACGTGGTCTTCAGGAGACTCTTGTGAACTTTGAACTCCTTAGCTTTGGTGGTTGCTGTAAAGCCGTCCTTTAGAGAGATCAGGATGGGCTGACCATCTTTTCCCTGAAACCACTCATCAGCTTCCACTGAAGGCTCAGGACCGATGGTGTCCGGGTACAGATCTTCCTGGAACAGATCGGACTGCACAGGCACAGTGGGAAAGAGTTAAGAACAGAAAAACACAAAAAAAACCACAACAAGATTTTGACTGATAAAAGTACAAGTGGTGTATATTGTACCTTGCGTGGCACGGTCATGACAATGGGCTCACACTTCCTCTCGTGGAGTTTGTAGAACCTGGAGGAAGAAATGATTGATCATATTTTAGGTTGGTCTAAATTAAGATAATGTTTTCTGTTGAGGAAGTTGCCTCATGGTAACATAAACATTATAAACAAGTGATACATGTACCTGGTAATTTCACATTTGTTGACTTCCAGGCCCCTCTTGGGCATGCAGCCCATCCCCTTCTGGCTCTCCTTGCTGGTGTACATGGACAGGTAATGGACATAAGGGGCTTCATCTGTCACCTCAAAGTAACGGATACTGCTCTCCCCCTGGGAAAACAATATGTGAGTCAGCTGTGTGTGTGTCCTTGTGGTTGAGACAGACACAGAAAGACAGTCGTTTCAACATCTCATTCTAACCTTGCCACAGAGGTAGACGACGCCAGTGTCTGGGTCATAAAACGGCAGAAGGACGCCACTACCGGTGTCCAGTTCCTGCAGGCAAAGTGGCTCTGCAAAGTTCTTCTGTTAAACGAGAGTAAGACACAAAGAGTTGTACGTTTAATTATATGCAATGTAATATTATGTATTAAAAACGTCTGCTTGAGTATTTGCAGGTAAGCCAAGGACTTATTTGATTGAGCCTAATGTGGGATATTGCAAAGCAACAACGCCCTTAGCAATGTAAGCTGGCAGTTGTGAAACAGCAGTGTTGTAAATTCAGCTGTAAATAACAGATGAGTAATATTACTAACATTTAGAAATGAGCATTTAAAGTCCAACTGGGATATGATGACTTCCTAAAAACGTTTTGAGCTTCACTATTTTTTAGCATAATGTATGAGCAGAGCAGAACAGAAAGCTTTTTTCACATTCATCTTCTGAAATGAATCAAACAATAACTTTGCTTGCTGCAATGAATTTTGTATAAAAATTAATGATGTAGAGAAATAATAAGGATTATAAAATATGTCTTCAGGGGATCGGAATAACAATCATCGATCTCATTGAAGTGAAATGGATTTTGAGCCAAAGACAGAAAAGTCTGTAAGTGAGAGACTTTGGTTGACTGAAACACTCACCGGGTCCCACAGCGCCACCTGTCTCTCACTCATGCGACTGAATCCGGTCGTGAGGATCTTCCCATCGGACAAGAACACCGCCCTGACAGGCCTGGAGCCCTCATGAGTCTTCTCCTTCTCCTGGAGGTCAGAGGAGGAGCACAGTACAAGTTGATAGACAGAGCTATGGAAGTTGTGACACAGTTATTCATATTATACCAATTAGTCTATTGACAGAAAAATACACGACGCGTTGGTTGGTTCAAGCCTTTCAAATGTTCCTTTTCTTTCTTATATCTTTCTCTATCTTATACTGCACTGTAACTTTTATTTGTGTATTTTCTTTTAATGTTTAATTTATATATTTGCTTTTAATGACTGTTTTTAAGTGCCATTTTCTTAATGTCCTTCATTTTTGTAAAGCATTTTGAATTGCCTTGTTTTGAAAGGTGCTATATTAATAAACTTGCCTTATATTTTAGTAAACTTCATATCTTTAGAAAGTCTGATAAGCTGAAAACATAATTTATTTATGGAGGAAATGATTGTTAATCAAGAAAATGACCGGTAGATTAATCAGTAATGAAAGTAATCCATAGTTGCAGTCCTACTCATTACGACATGAGGTGAATATTACTCAAGATGTTGACAGATCATTTATTTAATGTAAATACATGTTTGGTCAATCTTAAGTGCAGAGTAACAGGAAAACCTACGAGGAGCAATGTGCCCTTGCGTGGGTCCAGCACCCGCATGGTCTTGTCTTTGCAGGTGGTGAGGATCTGGGAGCCGTCCTGGTTCCAGCAGGCGCTGTAGATGAGGTCAGGGTGAACGCTGTCGATCCTCACCACTGATTCCCCACGAGCCACGTTCCAGAGGATCACCACGTTATCACAGCCTGCAGGGACACACCAGCGACAGAAGTGCTTAATAAGACCACTGTGGGGCTTCACATTAGGTCAATACAGGGTTATTCAATTACGGTATAATTCAAATAAATTCCAGTATATTTGTAATATTGTGCCATATTTTATCATCCCAAACACTGTTTTGTCTTTTTCACTGACTTGCGATAGTGACTCAGCTTCAGCTAAAATAATGAAAGCTTTGGCATTGACCTCCCTAAAAGTTTCAGTGTTCTTTCCTGAAATATCCTCTGATACAAATAAGGTGACCTTTTGACATTTCTACAATAATAGCTGCCATGGCTACACAAAAAAACAAAGTTAAAATATAAAAATGTTTAAAAGTATTTAATGTATTTTTCTGATGGTTTGTTTTTGTTTTGTGCTAGCTGCCATTAATTAATTTACTTATCGTATATTAGCAGCGGTCAGAGCTCTATTATTATTCAATTATGTCTATCTAACATTAATATCCTGAATAAAATCAATTTCAACCACATTGCCCATGCCTAGGAGCTCTTAGCTGTTGGAAGGATTATTTAGCAGCAGTGTGTTGTGTTGAAGGAGTTCTGGTAATGATGCTAACTGAAGTTAGTGTCACCTAGACTGTTGATCAGTGTTCAGAGGGAACACAATGGGTGGAGGCTGTGATAACTTTCTGTTCAACAAAGGTGCAAGTCTAATTTATAAAAACATCTGTGACCACCCTGTTTCCTCATGCTAGGCATCTCCAAACTGCAGCATGTGCTTAGATGGACTTGCATGAACTCACATGTACATGCATTGAGCAATACAGGATGTGAGGCTTGTGCTACTGTCTGAAGCAGTACATGATGGAGCTGTGCTACGCTTAAAGGATACTTCCTCATTAAAATAACGTGTTTGAATATAAGTACTCTCCAAACAGCATCACTGCTATGAAATAGATGCTGGTTTTACATTTTTACATCTACAAACAGTTGCTTAAGCATAATGGATTAACATATACTGCTATAATTATGGAGGTCTCTGTCAGATCATGTAAGCACAGCTCCGATGGCAGGTGTTCCTATGATTTCAGCCGGTACCTGCACTCATCAGCACATTGTGGGCGGTGGGGTGCCAGCACAGGATGCCAACACGTTTGGAGTGACCATCCAGCCTGACAACAGGAGCTGTGAGTGGCGAGGTCAGGCCGCCATCCGGGATCTCCCAAATCTATTTTCCATGGAAACAATATAGACTCACATTACAGAGTAACATTACAACACAACATCATGTCATGAATAAATATCTGAAATACTTGAAGGATCAAACTTAAGACTCTGATACAATAGAGAGTAGTACTGCATACCATGACACTGCAGTCCTCAGAGCCACTGGCAATGATGTTGTCATTGTGAGGACAAAACTCAATGTCCAGGACCGGCCCTGTGTGTCCGCACACAGTGGGGTAGGACATGTCGATACGTCCTGTCTGCAGAGAGAGGAACATCAAGACAGATTGTAAAAGTGTACGTTAAAGCCAAGGGAATTAAAGGTCACACACAACTAGGATGGAGTAAAAAAACTTGATAATTTTGTCAAGGTGGTGGAACATAGTTGATAGTCAGCTGATACAAATAGCACAGCTATGCCTCCAATTACTTCTAATGTCTAGTAACTGGGTTAGAGAGGAGATCAGGGCCAAGGAGATAGAATCCCATTGCTCCTCTG